TCATATTATTGGAGTAACAAATGCGTGCGCATAAATACGCTTTTTTCTTTTGAACTTTTATCTCGAGTGTAAAAAGTCGCGCAAAACAAGTTGCCCTACAGGTTACACGCAATAAACTCTCCTGTAATGCCTTGTAACTCGTACGTAATATCAACAAAGCTCATGATATGAAAGGCTAAGCTATAAAGCGGGCAGCAGCCCGTTTCGCGTATATTGACTCAAGTGGTCGAAGTTATGCGGCGCGAGCGCTGCGGCGACGGTCGAACAATGTGACAGCCCTTGCAACAACACGACCCTCTGTCAACTAACATGCTGTTCAGCCTCTTTAGGTACTAGTAGCAACTGTACTCTTATTCATTGCTGTCTTCACCGCATGTTTGCTCTTTATAGTTTCGCTAGAAATTGTCGCACTAGGCTTAGTTACAATGCCAGCCAGTATTGTACCTGAAATGTATACTATAAACTTCGAGAGGCCATTGATTTAGCAAATTTTATATCTACTTAAGACTAAGATTGATGTATTAAAGAGGGAATTCAGAAAAACATATCACATAATAGGCGGTAAAATCGCAGATAGTTTACGGCTATTCACGGAAACCAATTAATTCTCAGTCAATGACATCACCTCGCGAAACAAACGATCATCTATCGGAATGTTTAGGTGGTTTGTCGAGATATTTCTGTGAGAAAACTTTGACTAGATACACCAATCAACATCGCGGGAAACGATTCGTCTAATGAGGCGTGTCCGCGGTTATCTGACGGGTTATCGACAGGTAGGCAAAAAATGTCGAACGGAAGTGGGTGTTGGGAAAAAATAGACGAGGGGCTGTGGGGGGCGGTGTAACAGGTGCATCGGGCGCAGGGGTTCATCGCCCTTTGCTGCCTATGCCGGTAGCCACAGCTTGATAGCCGCGTGCCCAGGCCCTCTAATGTCTAGAGCAGTACCTGAGCTTCACGGCATAACGTTATAGCGCTTGCTAAACCATTACCGTAAAAGCCGTTTGGGTTCGCCTGAAATAGTGATATTCAGAATATTATAGAGCAAATGTTTGTGCATTACTTAGTTATTATCATGATATCAAATGGAGCCATTATATTGCGATCAACATTGTATAATATTATAAAACCCATAAAAGTGCTAAAAGGAATTAATGAGGAGCGAATTAATAACAATTTTGTGATTAAAAATTGCAATGATTGTGATCGTGCATTGAGAGTAATTCGATACCTCTGGTTTATCACTAATAGCAGGTGCGCTTCTGTTACATCATTTGTTATTCTATGATTCATTGTTACGTACTTGAATATCTCTGTTTATAATAAACATTGTTGCCTAGCTTTGTAATAATAAAATAATTGCAATATGCTAATCACTATAATCATGAAATATAACAGTGCTTGAGTGTAACAGACCAATTTTTTCTAGTGAGTGCTTGGAGAGAAACAAAACAAAAGGCTATGAATTCTCATGAAAATATTACCAATAAATTAAAAATATCATCTATAATAAATAACTAATGTCTCGTAACCACCCATTATGTTTGATTTACCATTAAGAATATTAAAGGGTTGATCTTAAATCAGTCGGGTGTCGAAAGTTCAAAGGCTTCTTTATTACGATCCTCATATTTTTATCCTTTTTTGCCGCCGTTATTCAAAGGTAATGTGGTTAAGCAACAGGTGGAAGTTAGGATTGTATCAAATTACTGCGGTTGGGGATGTTACACGGATGCGTAACGTCAGATAAATTAAACACAAGATTATTTCAAATGATGATCTGTAGCGGATGATCAGTCTTAATCTTTACTCTGTCTGCTGCCAAGTTTAATCATAAAAAATAGTTTTGATTAGTTTCTTTTAAGTCAGAGATGATTTGTAGGTGACGGGCGTCATTATTGAAGTCGGTTACATTATGCGTCCTGCTTTTATTGTGCTGTCCAAAAGGCATCTTATCATTGTAACAACCTGGACATGCGGGCTCGTTAGCAATAAATTTCAATGGAATTAATAGCGTTCGCGAACATTTGTTTGTCTCTTTGGCGAGGCTTGGGTCGGCATCGGGTTTGATTACTAAAAATAGTCCGGTAGATGCATTCCAGGGAACAGGGAGGGTGAGAGCGGAGGGAGCGCGCGCCGTCCTTGGTCTCGTCTCCAGCGTTTCGTTCGCTTACCATTATCTCGATCCCTTTTTTGCGTTTCGATCGTTATCCGACCGCGAACAATCCGATCGATGTTCCCACGGACGCGAGTAATCAAGAAGTTTCGATAGACACTCAAATTGCATATTTTTTACGCTACATTAACTAAGAGTAATTTGAAGACCATCCTGCGGCTTCGGAAATTCCTTTGAGTCATCATCCGATTTGTGAGAAATGCGATCAGATCGCCTTTGAGTTAAGCCGATTACTCGCGGTTAGTTCGATTGTCCTTGCTTTGTAGCTTAATCTTTTTAACTTTATTACTTTTCAATGTTAACTGTCAACAAGTTGTTGGCGGTGATGGAGGAAAGGCTTATCTATATGGGGTAAAAATAAAGTATGGTTACCCTCTGTTATGACATGTCAGAGCAAAGAATTCCGCAGCTGACTACTCAGATTATGCAACGCAACATATCATAATATCGTGGACACCCCATCGTAAGCGCGCGCAATGTTTTACGTTGAGTCCGGCGGCGTCTGGAATTCTTCTGATTGTTCGGATGTTTCGAGTATGTTTCTTTACGGATCGTAAAATGATGACATTTCGCATTATAACATTACTACATTTATGAGTATTGTACTTATATTACCAATGTCTTATTCATGCTCGTACTTTTACTCGCTTTCGGGAAATAAAATATTACGATGCCGTAAACATCAGTAACACGATACTTTACGTTACTAGGAAGGAGTTCGTAAATACCTGACCCTGTTCTGGTCGAAAATAAAAACTAATAAAGAATTTTAATGTCTTTATAATTCGGTTCAAAAGTACGTGTTATGAATTTATATCTTTAAATTTTATTTGTGTTAGTAGATTCCTTGTATTATGTAGGCACTAGTTTGAGATGGATATCCGGTGGTTTATTTCTTTGGAATCGCAATAAAAACGGAAACCATTCGTGGGGTGTAGCCAGTGTTCAACATATGGCAACGTTTGACTCCGCGTCGTGTTCCTAGTGTAGTAGGGTTCATCTCGGGTCTAGAAATACTATTTTTAAACTGGTTACTTCTCAACTTGATGCCAACCGGTTTTGCACCCTGGATCCAGTGCCATTTGCTTAATGTCTTATTCCTTGGTATCTAAACGCATGGGTTAAGCCTACCTCAGCTTGCATATAGCAGAGTGCAGACAATGACCTTACCTCAGGAATAATTTATTTTAATGACGAGTATAATTACACTGTGAGGGGAGGGAGCAAAAATTATCAGTGAAACTCAATAAGAACATTTATTTCTGCTCGCAGTCGCTGGGGCGTGTGTTTATTTTTTGTTTCGTGATTAGTTGTTTTTTTAATAATAGAATATTTCAATTCTTGAAAAGGGTTCTTAGAACATGCAATGGTTAATTACTCTTGCCAGGTACAAGACTTATTAACCCCAGTGAAAGGTTAAC